ATAGATAATAGATATACAAAGGATGCTTCGCAATGGCGGACGCGACTTTTGAACGTTTACATGTGATATTTCCCGACTTCTTCCCCAATGAAAGACATTACAAATCATTATTAATAGCGTTACCAATTTTAATAAAAACTTCTTTTGATAATATTTTTCATGATCGTATACTATTTTTCTTATGCAACCCATTTTACAAAATCTTTAAACCCTGCAACATCGCCATCTGCCAGGTCTAGTCTACACTATTTTTGATAGAAAAGTTAACTAAGCATGACCATACACCGTGCCTAGGGTGCGTTCAGAAATGTCCCCATGAAAAATTGTGAAATGAATCCAGGAGAACATCACGTTACTTAGTTTCGTATCCAATGTGATCCGTGGAATATAAATTTTCTGAATGCCTGCTGTAATTTAAATTTGGATTTTTTTTTAAATAATAACGTTTTATTTCTAACCTTTAAAGTAATGATGACTCAACATAGAGAAGTGTTTGCTATTTTAACAATTTATCACGAAACTTGCTTGATGTGATATTTGATGATGAGAGTAGTAAAGATGAAGAGGTTGAATACAATCAATTTTTGATGATTATAAAGAATTATGAGCCCAATTTAAATATGAGAATATGAAAATCAAAAATATATAGCAAACAATAAACTTATTGGTACACACTCGACAGTAATTCACAGTAACAATATGGTTTTCAATTTTTCATGTATAACAAATGTTCTTTATTACTGAATTACGTTTGTGGAAGGTAAATAGTATAACTACGTATTTATAATTACACTTTATCAAATAGAATTTACAATAATTGGATACAAACTTATTGTTTTTCTCATACATTATCACTAATCCTGCATCACTGAATATCAGATCTTTATTTTCATTAACACAAATTACGTGAGTATCTGATGACATCGTTCAGTTTAATAATAAATAATCAAAACTATTTACAATTTTTTACGGATATTTAAATAAAATGTAACTAACTTATATCTTATGTCATTTGAAATGAGTTTATTTCACCTTTGGAGTTTATTAAACCATTGGATTGAAACATATTTTAATTTTGAATTAATATTTTTCTGGGCATGTCAAGTAAGTTTTACCGTGCTCAGCAAGCAAAAGTGTAATTAAAATTCGATTACACTTACAGTTTGACCGCAACGAGCATATCGCTTACTTTTTAGGCCACCCTGTATACAAAAAATATTTTCAGTCATATAGAGGGTTCTGTTTATTCTGGACGCTACCTAACTTCGTTATTTTAAACGGAACACCCTGTATACTACGACAATTTTGAATTCTACTTTATTGAGCCTTTCCTACTACTAAAATTTACCGTTTTCGAGGTATTATTTTTTTTTAAAAAAGTAGCACAAAGCAGAAGGTAGCAAAAAAGCATGCCTATTTTACAGTAAGAATGCTGGAACAACAATATTCTCAGAAATGGTAGCTATACCGTCAGCTTCCCGTCCATACTTTCAAAGTGGGTTAATTACATACAGGGTGTTAGATATTTAATAGCGGATTTGGTTAACTTCAAACAATCGTAAGTCCATATTTCCCAATGGAACACCCTGTATGTATTTCTATAGTCTTATACAGAATTTTATTCTCTTTCGAAAGGTATTATGGTTTTCTATACCCATCTCCTCTAGTTTTCAATATTTAGTTATAGTTAGAATATTGTTGCTCCAGCTTTCTTACTGTAAAATAGGCATGCTTTTTCGCTACCTACTGCTCTGTGCTATTCTTTTTTAAAAACAATATCTAGAAAACGGTAAATCTTAAAAGTAGGAAAGCCTTAAGAAAGTCTACCTAAAATCATAAGTAGAAAATTGTCGTAACATACAGGGCCGTTTAAAATAACAAAGTTATGTCGGTATAGCAGGAAGTACTACATAAATGCCGTTATTTTAATTAACGAGACCATACCCAATAATGCGATTATATAAATCTTTAAAATTTAAGTCGAAGTAGTTTCCAAAATATTCTAATGGGTGGTTACCGTGAGACACCCAGTATGTATATGTATTATGTATACTAACAAGGTGCATAAAACATAACTATCACATGTTTCTTTTTCTTCAAGAATGTTTTAAAGTTTTCCTCGTTCAAATGGATGACGTTCGTTTTTTCATCGGACCAACTGACCTCAACAGGGGTGGGCATCGGAGGCTCTACAGGATTTTTCATAAAATTGACAATTTGCGAAGCCTCCCGAACATTAACATCAAATTTTAATTCTCCATAAGCGAAATACTTAACAGTGGGATATCCTTTTATAGAATATTGCGACGCTACTGACTGTTCTTTAGTGGCGTCAACTGCCGCTAATATACCTGGAATCTGGAAGAGATTGCTTCTTTAATTAAAAAACAACAAGATAAATAAAAATTTGATCAATTAATAAAATAAGGATCTATTTAATCTACAATTGATTTTATTTTATCAATAGCCTTACGGTGTAATACTTTTTCAATTTAAATTGACTGCAATGTGCTGTAACATAGGTGAGGCATAATATGCTACATTATATTATACATTACTACAAAAAATAATAAAACATTTAAAAAAAAATTACAGCTGTAAATGTGAATGTCTCCTGTTGCCACTTGGTTAACGTTTAATTACTCCACATCAAGAGAGTAGATATAACCGCTTCAGAACTGCAGAATTACCAAAAGATTTGATATTTAATTACTTACTCGAAACTCGTGTCTACTGTATTTTATAATACACATACATTTAACGCATCATCTATGTGACAACACATAAATAACAAATTACCCTGATGAAAAAATTTGTGTTATAAAATACTTCAGGTAAAAGAAGAAATGAGAAAAAAAATCGTAAAACAATTTTGAGCCCTAATTACCAGAAGTAAAATGAAAAAACATAAAGATACAAAGTGACTAAGGAAAATATAGTTACAAAAAACTGTGAAAGGATAACGTATTTTCAAAATTGCTACAATCCTACAATAAATTAAATGATGAAATAATTATTCAACACTTAAAAACATTTTTATTTTTTCAACCGCGCTAACACTTACTAAATTACAAGTGATTCTCCCAAAGCTGCACCTTGAAACATTTTAGATATGTATAATTAAAATGGTAATTAAAATTTTAAAATTTTTTAAAACAGGTTTAAACTAGCAATTTCTCAAGCTGATTCAACACCAAAAATTGGCTGAGAATATTTGATAGTGACTTCTAATAGAACGCAAAAATGCAGAAATAATTTTATTTTTCGTAATATTATTTTTAAATGTAGCCTTACCCCTTCTTCTTTCATTACAGCAGCAGCCTTTTCATACTCAGGTTTCATACGCTTGCAGTGACCACACCAGGGTGCATAGAACATCACTAACACTGATGATTCCTCCTTAATAACAGGTACAAAACTAGAAGAAGTAAGATGAACTACTTCGTTGTCAACATCTGACCACTCTGGTTCTTTTATTTTAACAGGTGGTGTTTGAGGGTTACGCATAAAATTAATTATCGCATTTTTAGTATTATCGCCTTCATACTGGAATTTTAGTTCTCCTTGTCTATTTAACATGAAAATAAACTCGATTATATCTCACAACTTCAAAACATTACATTTAGCATACTCATAATATAATAACGTCGGAAAACCAGTAATATTGTAGTGTGTTCTTACGACTGCATTTTCTGGCCTGTTTACATCAATTGCAGCAAGAACAGCTTCGTTTTGCAACTCTTCTGCAGCTGATGCATATTCTGGTTTCAAACTTTTACAAAATCCACACCATGGGGCATAGAACATAATCATAAGTGGTTTTGATTCCCTTTTTATGAATTTTGCTAGACTCTAAAAATAATATATGTTTATTTACAACAAAAAGTTCTTCTTGTTAACCAGTAGAATATTAAAATTGTTTAACAAAAGAATTTCATTCATACCGAAAACATTCTTATAAATTTTTCATGAAATATTTCCAATTTCCAAAAAGTCACATTATCTTGACATATGAATAAATTAGTTGAACAATCAAAATATTTTCAATAAAAACAATAAATTGCTTATCAAATTAAATATAAACTTATGTCAGTTTTAAAGGAACTTAAAATTATTTTTAGATTATTTATTATTATATTATTAAATTTTTCCAATTTAGAAGACATTCCCATACTATAAAAAGATAAAAAATCCTTACTCCTGCATCAGGGATATGTGCTACATAATTTGCCCTCGAGTCTTCTTCCCAAGGTATATCACCTGTTGGGTCCCTCATAAAATTAACCATAGATGACAGAGTTTCCTTTCTATCATAATCTTTATTAAAATCGCCGTCTTTGTAATGTTTTAGTATGTAAGGATCTGGAGCTACTTTCAACTTTTTACACATCTTTTTTGCTTCTCTAAATATGTATAAGATAGTATTTACTTAATTAAAAAAAAATAATGTGCATACCCTGAACAATCTATTAAAACCATTGTACCATGTCCCTTAATAACTTCTGCAGCTTCTTTAAAAACTTTAACCAATTGATTTGATTGCTTAATAGAACTAGTAAAGCAAACTAATACATTGGTTTTAGTTCGAAGAAGCTTCTTAAAGTCCTTTATGTCTACGATACTTTCAATCACTGCATTTTTTGAATTCACTTTGGCTTTATAGTGGGATGTGAAAAGTACTAGAAACTAATAGCAATCAATCGTTTTATACGTAATTTATCCGTCATATAAAACTTACTAAAAACACAACTTGTAGAACTTTCATACTACACTTATACACAACAAAATTTAAAAATAAAATTAAATATCAGCTTATTCACTTATTAGCCTTTACTCATAATACATAAAACAACAACATTAATAACGTTCTAAATAAAGTTTTTACTGGCAATATAAGTGAGTAATGAGTACAACCTATACGATTCACAACAGTTTAATTGTTCTAACCTAACCTTATTATTATCTTATTATCAACCGGTAATTTTTAGGAAGATACAGAAACACCAGGATTGCAATTATTAAAAGTTATATCGAAACATCTTGCATCGAATATTTCATAACATTTTGGCATAATTACAGAATAAGAATCTTATATCTTCTTAATAAATATTGCTCCTGTTTAATAAAATAATACTGATGTAAAAATTTATTTTGCGCTACAATTAGAAAGTAAAAGCTAAAATTTAAATAATCAGTAATAAAAAAAATCGATGCAGCAAGAAAGAAAACGGGACAAATTACCTACAAACATACTTAAATGAACTAACAAAAGTGTCTATGTGATTTTATTTTATTTACGATTAGTTTCGATTAGTTTCAATTTGGTTTTCATTTGTAAAAAATTGAAAATCAGGTTCTCGAAAAAGTTTCGTTAAAATATAGGTGTTACCTAATCCACAGATGCATGGGAGATGTGTCCCTTCTGATAATTTAGCAAAGAACAAAAATGAACAGGTATATTAATCTTTTTGAGCTTAAATGTTGAATTGATAAATTCGAAGTATAATCAGGAAATTTACTCATTTTTATCTGCTAATGCCGTTTTCTTTTTCAAACTGTTTAATGTAAAAACGATTTTGTATACTGAAGGTTTTTTAGTACTAAATTTAGCACTATCTCCTTAATAACTTACAGACATTATAATGTGCCAAAAATAAAAAAATGTTAACATTAAATTTTGGAAAATAATAGTGAAAAATTACCACAAATTTTTAAATACTCGTTTATTTCTTCTCATATGCATGTTATTTTTAATTTAAATGTAGAACTCCACAGCAGGTAGGATGCAGGTAAGATTAAATTTTATTACTCAATTCAATATATTGTCTATTTTGCTCATATCTGTCTATTTTTAGAAAGGATTAGTAAATTTTAAAATTTTTAGAATTGCTTAATCAACTTTGTTGTTTTTTGCCTTACTTCTTCTACAATGTAATAAGTGTTAACAGTGATTCTGGATCGCAAGGCTATGCACAGTGGCCTCTAAATCCATCAGCTTATCAAAACACGGCAAATGATCAAGTTGATTGGGCTGCATTAGCACAGCAATGGATTATCATGAAAGAAGCCGGACCTCCAGTCCCAGATCAAATTGCATCAACTGCTGTTCGTCCATTGATCGAAAAACAACCAAGCAAACAAAACTTAACCGAAGCTGGAGAAGCACCGATGGACGTGGAAAACGAGAAAGATGAACCAGTTCTTCCCCCATGGAATGATAACAGTGTTTCAAGTGATAGTTCATGGAGTTGGAATCAACAGCAACAACAGTGGAACTGGGCTAACACATGGACCCCTCCTTCAGGTGTTCCACCTCCTGGTCCTCCACCTCTAAAGGCCCCATTACTACCTACTCCCGCACCTTTTAATCAATACAATTCTACAACTGATTCGTCAGTAAATGAAAATTATGGAGGGTAAGTCTCAACATATGATATGATATAAAGTTTAACAATGTAATGTACTATAATCATAATGTTTACAAATCTGAGATTATAAAAATTTTTAATTAACATCCTGAATGAATAATTCAAATGAAGATAATAAAAATATATCAATTATTAGTTACAGTACAGTGTCAAATGATTACACTACTGGCTATTGGACAACATCAAATGCAGCTAAAATAAAACCTCATAATAAACGTTACAGTAAAGTTAATGTACCAAGGCCTGCACCTGTTAATGCCCCTGAACCTGTTACTTTGGATGCAAACAAACGTAAACAACTTCCAGCTTGGATAAGAGAAGGTGCATTAATTCACTTTTTGTCATTGGTTATTTATTAAATTGTTTGAAAATGTAAATGTTTCTTAGGATTAGAAAAAATGGAAAGGGACAAACAAAAAATGCTTGAAAAGGAACGCGAACGATTGGAAAGAGAACAACAAGTAGAAAAGACAACTGTTGATCAAACTGAAGCTATGGAAATTATAAGATCAACAGTAAAACAAAAAGAAAGTAAAAGTAAATTTGTGAGTTTTGATACTTCAGGGTTCTAAAGTAGCATTTATTAACTATTACATTAATTTAGGAGAGCGATGAAGAGCCTTGTGATCATGAAAGTGATGGTAAAAGAACTCCAGAAGTGCCAAAACTATCCCAGGAAGACTTGGTAAGAAATATCTGTAATAAATAATATTCAGGTATATGCTATATCCTTTAGATAAAAGATATTTTTACTTTGTACATAAAACCCTATCAAACTTTTGAAGTACTGTTGTTACCAACAAACATCACTAAATGGCGATGTACTGCCTGTTGCTTGATAAATCATTTTCCTTTTATTTCAATAAATCTACTACAACGCTTGCGTTATAAGCAGTTTTCGAAACGACAGCTATTGCTCGACTAACAGAAGCTCTTACATGCTAGCCGAATTCAGTCCGGCTTTTTAATCCAGGATTGGACTAATCTCTTTTATCTGCTGTTAAGTATCACTGGTATCAAGTAAACATCCGAAACATATAACACGGAAAGGTATCAACACAACAATCGCATTCAACATAGTGTTACCCTCCCCTACCATCATCTATTAAACTTGGCATAAATTACAACGCTGCAGTGCTGCAGCTCTGGCGGTCTTTCATACCCCAAAGTTTAAGGCATCTCGAATTGATAAAACTATGCAAAAACTATAATAGTTTCACTAGTCACATTTATAGATAGGTGCATATCAACTTATGCGGCCTCCTTTCTTATTGCTTAATTTAAATAATATAATCCTCTCATAGTAAAAAGGTTCCCCACATCTGGCTTAGAGCATGCTGATGAGAAGTGGGCAGACTAGTGATTTGCATTTGAAAATATGCTTCCGTTCACTTAAGCCCTTTCACGTACAAACATACTTAAATGAACTAACAAAAGTGTCTAATTATGTATAAGGTTATAAAAATATATACAGGGTGTTCCATTTGATAAAATTGACTTGTGATTGTTTGAAGTTAACCAAATTCCTCACTAAATATTTAACACCCTGTATATTAATAACCCATTGAAAGTACGGACGGGAAGCTTGAGGGTATCGCTTCCTTTCCTGAGAATATTGTTAATCCAGCGTTTTTAGTGTAAAATAGCTACTGTCCAAATTTTCAAAATTCGAATCGAAATAGTTTCCGAAATATTCTAATGGGTGGTCACCGTGAGTATATATATGTGAAGGCAACTTTACGACCTTATAAATATTTTTCGAATAAAATGCCGTTTTCGTGAATCGTTTGTTTTTCTTTTTAAGTTATTTAAAGTTATTAATAAAATTATTTTGAAAATATAAATACATATAGTTATGTAACCTACTGTGTCCACGTTTATAATAAAATCGTCTCAAGACAGCAACCTCAAATAGCTAATTACTTTTGGAGCAGGTCAACAGATGTTAAAAAATCCTATAAATATAACCAATTAAGCCTTCTTAAGGTAGAATTCGTTTATAGTTATAAAGTCTTATGCGCTATTAAACATCATCGCACAGCACTATTTTTTAAAAGAAATTAAAATAAAATGCATGACTTATAAACACTTTTTATTACTCAGATCAAATTTTCATTTACAATAAAAGAGGTAAAACTCAAGTACTAAAGCATCATCATAAATTACAATATCAAAAACAACAAACTGTAAATATACGTAAATTCATTTGTATAAATAAATAGTGTGTAAATAAGAAATAATTATGGAATGTGGCCATGCGACAGTTTATAATTCATCTTTAATTAAATTGACAACTTGTACAAACTTCCTAAATTCATCTTCAGTTCGTTTTCCTTCATTTCAACATATGGATATCTACTTGCTGAACTGAATTCACGGCGTAGCTCACCACTACGTGATAGGCACGTTACCAAAATCGAACAAACAAATTCGAAGTGGTCAGTGTTCTGTCGAAACTGCCAGACGCGGATCGCGATTTCGATCTTTTTGGAACTCATCAGCACGTCGCAGACAGTTTTGACAGAACACAGACCAATTTTTACCTGCTGTCTTAACAGCGCGTTTTATAAAATACCACAAATGGCGCGGTAAACGTCATCTGTAGTAGAATGCTACATTTAGTGGAATTGATTATGCTCAACAAGGTCCATTTAAATAGATGGATATCTACTTGCTGAACTGAATCCACGGCGTAGCTCACCACTACGTGATAGGCACGTTACCAAAATCAAACAAACAAATTCGAAGTGGTCAGTGTTCTTCCGAAAGTGCCAGACGCGGATCGCATTGTACTACAGATGGCGTTTACCGCGCCATTTGTGGTATTTTATAAAATGCACTGTTACGACAGCCGGTAAAAATTGGTCTGTGTTCTGTCGAAACTGTCGGCGTTCCAAAAACATCGAACCGAAATCGCGATCCGCGTCTGACAGTTTCGACAGAACCGAATTTGTTTGTTCGATTTTGTAAAAATAGTTGATTTTAGTTACTTTCTAGTTGAATGTCATCTTCAGAGAATTTTACTGACAAAAGCTAATCTTAATCGGCTAATTTAGAAATTGGAAAAAGATTATTAAAGGTGTATGGTGTTAAGAGTAGAGGTAGACCTAGATTAGATTGCCGTTCGGAAATTGTTAAGGATGTGGATTGTTCTAATTTTGGAAAAATGCGAAGATTAGCTCAGGATACGAAACAGTGGAGGTGCGTGTCCACTCAATCTTAGGACTGGCGACCTTATGATGATGATCAAAATCTCATCATGCTATTACTGCACTTCGTTTGGAGTTTCTTAACATGGGGTCCGTGGACTCCTAAGGAGTCCATGTCATGAAAGCAGGAGTTCATGGTTAGCCTGGCTAACATAATTTATTTGTAACAAAAGTTACTGTTATACTCCAGAGTCAATTCCTACCTAATGAAGAAGATTTTTTTAATTTTCCTGTTTTCATTTCCCATCATCATTCTATTCGACTGCGTGGAATTTTTTAAAAGTTTTTCAAGTTAAGAAATCCAGATTTAGTTCTTCATTATCAATCTGCTTTATATTTATACTATATGAAACACTTCATTTTAAATATGAAGTTTTCATTCATCAAGATATCGTGTATATTAATTATAACCAAGGTAATGAAACATATTAGCTAGTTGTGAATGTAAACAGAAACGGTTTTTCACATACTTGTTACTTAATATTTTAGCAAAAAAAATACTACTTCGTTCTGAAAAAAAAATTGAAAAGTTTTACTTTACGATTAGCTTATTTAATATTCTCCAGCAAAATTTCCAAACCATCATCATAGGGTCGTTAGTCCTAACACTGGTTGGACACGCACATCCTTTCCTGTTATGAGCTAATGTTTGCACTTCTCTAAAACTAGAACAGCCCACCTCCTTAACTATTTGTGAACAGTAATCTAATCTATTGAGATCTACCTCTACTCCTCTTAACTCATGAGAAGGTGTGCTACCAACCTATCTCGCCTAATATTTTGTTATTTACTTCAAGGCTAATCTTCCTATTTCTCTAAAACTAGGACATCCCGCATCTTTGACTATTTGAGAAGAATAACCTAATCTAAGACCTACCTCTACTCTTCTTAACTCCTTTTTCTGCTACTACAAAGTCTCCATTTAGCCCTTCATGTATGAAAAGGTATCCTACCAACCTATCTCGCCTAATATTTCTTATTTACTTCCAAACTAATCATCCTATTTCTCTTAAACTAGGACATCCTGCATCTAAAAAGTCTCCATTTAGCCCTTCATGCATGAGAAGGTGTCCTACTAACCTACCTCGCCTATTTCTTATTAACTTCCATAGAGTCCTCTGTTCTCCTACTCTTTCTAATACCTCATCATTTCTAACCTTTTCTATCGACAGTATCCTCATCTTCGCATTTTCCTAAAATTCGAGCATCATCCCACTTCTGGTTTATGCAGTCGCATGTACTATTTTACAGGATAGTTTGATCAAAGCTCTGTTGGCAATGGTGCAATCTAGGCACTTCCATTTATTGCCCATAAAGACTAGTTAAGCATAAGCATAATGAGATTATGTCCTCTATCTATTTATACATATTTTATGCATTTTAGCATTTAATTAATGTATTTTACTTACGGTTCTTTTAAATATCCTTTTTACTACTGATTATGATACGTGCGGCTTCNTAAAACTATATTATATATTAAACTTACATGGAGCATAAAACATGACTAAAGCCAGACCACTTTTTGAGACTCCTTTTGTAAAGTTCTGGTCTGTGAACTTAACTAATGAGGTAGCTTTATCACCGATATCGTCATCCTGTTTAGGGATCTTCAAAGGCCCTGTTTCAAAATTATCAGGATCGTTCATAAATCTTATAAAATCAGTCACCTAAAATGCAAAATGACATTTCTCCAAATTGTAGCATCAAATATTTAGTTTAACTACAACATACGAATAATATACCAATATTGAAAATAAATTTTTAGAGGCTATGGAGTCTTTACATATGATTAATCTTATGGACAGCTTCAGCTAATGTAATAAATCATGTCAAAAAAGTGGAGAAGACATACCTTTGTAATCACAACATTTGGAAATATAAAAAAGGACTTTAATTTTAAATTTTAAACAATATACGAAATTGCAGAGTTAAAATATTCTGTAATCTTCTACGATTAATTGATGAATAAATAATTACACATAAAATGTTTAAATTTCAAAAACGTTTCTTTCCGAAATTGCCTTAAAGTAAATTGTTCAATTTACTTAAAAGTTTAAAACAATGACGTTAATATCAACTTCCTGTATAAACGATTTTGCTATTTTTTCAAATTTTAAAACTTAATGAGCAGTACAGTTTGCAAAAGTTATGCTCAATTCTAACTTATTACTCTGTATAAATTTAATAGATACCCTCATACAACTTTAAAAAAAAACTTACCGTTCTACCTCCTGTGTACTGTCTTACAACTTTCGAATAATAACTGTAATACCTAAATGTGGGATAACCAGTGATATCTAAGGCTTTGCAAATACCCTGGTGAACCGTACAATCTACGGCAGCAAACTCGATTTTTGTGTCATCCTTGAAAGCATCTGCAGCTTTTGTAAATTCTGGCTTAGCCTTTTTACAATGTCCACACCCTTTTAACAAGTAAATACTCAATATAAAATATACCGCTTTTGAATAAAACTGTATATGTACTGAGTGTATCACGATAACCACCCATTAGAATATTTCAGAAACTACTCCAATTTAAATTTTAAAAATTTATATAATAGCACTTTTCACGGTTATATCGGAAGTTGACATCAAATTCGTTATTTTAAACGGAACACCCTGTATACTACGACAATTTTGAATTCTACTTTATTGAGCCTTTCCTACTACTAAAATTTACCGTTTTCGAGGTATTATTTTTTTTTAAAAAAGTAGCACAAAGCAGAAGGTAGCAAAAAAGCATGCCTATTTTACAGTAAGAATGCTGGAACAACAATATTCTCAGAAATGGTAGCTATACCGTCAGCTTCCCGTCCATACTTTCAAAGTGGGTTAATTACATACAGGGTGTTAGATATTTAATAGCGGATTTGGTTAACTTCAAACAATCGTAAGTCCATATTTCCCAATGGAACACCCTGTATGTATTTCTATAGTCTTATACAGAATTTTATTCTCTTTCGAAAGGTATTATGGTTTTCTATACCCATCTCCTCTAGTTTTCAATATTTAGTTATAGTTAGAATATTGTTGCTCCAGCTTTCTTACTGTAAAATAGGCATGCTTTTTCGCTACCTACTGCTCTGTGCTATTCTTTTTTAAAAACAATATCTAGAAAACGGTAAATCTTAAAAGTAGGAAAGCCTTAAGAAAGTCTACCTAAAATCATAAGTAGAAAATTGTCGTAACATACAGGGCCGTTTAAAATAACAAAGTTATGTCGGTATAGCAGGAAGTACTACATAAATGCCGTTATTTTAATTAACGAGACCATACCCAATAATGCGATTATATAAATCTTTAAAATTTAAGTCGAAGTAGTTTCCAAAATATTCTAATGGGTGGTTACCGTGAGACACCCAGTATGTATATGTATTATGTATACTAACAAGGTGCATAAAACATAACTATCACATGTTTCTTTTTCTTCAAGAATGTTTTAAAGTTTTCCTCGTTCAAATGGATGACGTTCGTTTTTTCATCGGACCAACTGACCTCAACAGGGGTGGGCATCGGAGGCTCTACAGGATTTTTCATAAAATTGACAATTTGCGAAGCCTCCCGAACATTAACATCAAATTTTAATTCTCCATAAGCGAAATACTTAACAGTGGGATATCCTTTTATAGAATATTGCGACGCTACTGACTGTTCTTTAGTGGCGTCAACTGCCGCTAATATACCTGGAATCTGGAAGAGATTGCTTCTTTAATTAAAAAACAACAAGATAAATAAAAATTTGATCAATTAATAAAATAAGGATCTATTTAATCTACAATTGATTTTATTTTATCAATAGCCTTACGGTGTAATACTTTTTCAATTTAAATTGACTGCAATGTGCTGTAACATAGGTGAGGCATAATATGCTACATTATATTATACATTACTACAAAAAATAATAAAACATTTAAAAAAAAATTACAGCTGTAAATGTGAATGTCTCCTGTTGCCACTTGGTTAACGTTTAATTACTCCACATCAAGAGAGTAGATATAACCGCTTCAGAACTGCAGAATTACCAAAAGATTTGATATTTAATTACTTACTCGAAACTCGTGTCTACTGTATTTTATAATACACATACATTTAACGCATCATCTATGTGACAACACATAAATAACAAATTACCCTGATGAAAAAATTTGTGTTATAAAATACTTCAGGTAAAAGAAGAAATGAGAAAAAAAATCGTAAAACAATTTTGAGCCCTAATTACCAGAAGTAAAATGAAAAAACATAAAGATACAAAGTGACTAAGGAAAATATAGTTACAAAAAACTGTGAAAGGATAACGTATTTTCAAAATTGCTACAATCCTACAATAAATTAAATGATGAAATAATTATTCAACACTTAAAAACATTTTTATTTTTTCAACCGCGCTAACACTTACTAAATTACAAGTGATTCTCCCAAAGCTGCACCTTGAAACATTTTAGATATGTATAATTAAAATGGTAATTAAAATTTTAAAATTTTTTAAAACAGGTTTAAACTAGCAATTTCTCAAGCTGATTCAACACCAAAAATTGGCTGAGAATATTTGATAGTGACTTCTAATAGAACGCAAAAATGCAGAAATAATTTTATTTTTCGTAATATTATTTTTAAATGTAGCCTTACCCCTTCTTCTTTCATTACAGCAGCAGCCTTTTCATACTCAGGTTTCATACGCTTGCAGTGACCACACCAGGGTGCATAGAACATCACTAACACTGATGATTCCTCCTTAATAACAGGTACAAAACTAGAAGAAGTAAGATGAACTACTTCGTTGTCAACATCTGACCACTCTGGTTCTTTTATTTTAACAGGTGGTGTTTGAGGGTTACGCATAAAATTAATTATCGCATTTTTAGTATTATCGCCTTCATACTGGAATTTTAGTTCTCCTTGTCTATTTAACATGAAAATAAACTCGATTATATCTCACAACTTCAAAACATTACATTTAGCATACTCATAATATAATAACGTCGGAAAACCAGTAATATTGTAGTGTGTTCTTACGACTGCATTTTCTGGCCTGTTTACATCAATTGCAGCAAGAACAGCTTCGTTTTGCAACTCTTCTGCAGCTGATGCATATTCTGGTTTCAAACTTTTACAAAATCCACACCATGGGGCATAGAACATAATCATAAGTGGTTTTGATTCCCTTTTTATGAATTTTGCTAGACTCTAAAAATAATATATGTTTATTTACAACAAAAAGTTCTTCTTG